GAACTCCCGCGGGAGACTAAAGTGTGATAGAGTAGGTTGCGGTAGCAATCCTACTCATTCCACGATCCAAAAACGGAACCGTGGAAGATTCGTCTAGCATTTATCTAATGGCGTGGAAGTACTCCACGCTGGCTAATATCTAGAGCGATGTTTCATCAATCAACCTAGTATGACTAGAGCGGTCATGAGAACCCTGTCTCAATGATTATTCACGAGAGACTCAGTCATGAGTCGAACTCAAACCCTATCTAGGATCGAGTCGCGAATAAGCTAAGAGCCGTTATTGCATTCGCCCCTGACAAGGGTCACGAAGGCACGACAAGTCGGACAAGGAGAACATATGATTTAAAGTGCGGATCTCCTCTAGATCTACGATCCTTTGGTTGTAGATCTCTCTCGTTGATTAGTTTTCATAGCTTTCTAATCCTCTCATAACTTTCATTCTCTCAAACTCAAAACACTCGAAAGATCTTTACACTAGCTTTTAGCGTAGTGCACTTCCATTGCTGGCAACGATGATGAGGATGATGTTACCGAAGAGGATGGCCCCACTACTTGGAAGCCAAAGAGGATGGTGAAGGAGTGGGAGAATGAGCATGGCATTCGCCATGTCACTATTATTGTCTGGCTGAGCAGTGGCGCGACTGAAGCCGAAATTGAAACCATGGTCTCTGCAAATGGCAAGAAGCTGACTATCAGTGAGAAGTGGCACCAAGACCTCTTGGATATTGGGGAGTTCTATTATCTCTATCAACAACACACAAGGGAGAACCTAGAGGATACCAATGTGAGGCGCCATGCCATGCAGCAGTATGTCAGGTCCATCCTTGATGTCAGGGGTGATGTCATTTCAGAATTCACTATGGAGCTGCCATTTCCAGTTGATCCCTCTACCCTCAATGTGACCTTCCCCAGCTACATGTGGCTCGGTCCTACACTCTGTCCCCACATGTAGACTGTGATGCCTTCCCGCATTCTTGTTTCTGAATGGATTGACTTGTGGGCAAGATGGCTTTCAGAGACTTGCATTATCATTCTTCAAAGGGACTAGTCAGTAGAGTGCATACTAAGTTTGGGCATATGAAGCAGCTTACTATTGTTATGGCTGGTGTGGATTGATCGGCAACTGCTTCAACACAAGTCGATCGATCCAAGAAAAGAAAATTGTGAGGATTCTGACTGGAGGGAATGAATGCGCACCAATTTCGCGCGAAGGCTCACTAGATCTTTGAGTCTGGTGCATTGTTCTGCCATGTTGACTTGGCTGAGAAAAGGAAGAAAAGGGTAGCTCAATCCTTTGTCATGAGGAAGAGGCATGCCAAGGGCAAGAAGAAGGGTGATATTGAATACAACAACCTGACCCCTCATCACTAGACAAACTCAACAACAGCCATGGCTTTGATGTGTGTTAGGCACACTGTAAACAACTACAACAACCAACCAATCTAGGAGCAACTTGTTGAGTGCTCATGTAACCAAAAAGGGTAGCTTGTTGAATGCCCTTATAAAATAGTACTTGAATGTAGTGTGTAATGGCTTGTGTAGTGGTGTAATGCGTTTTCCTGTTCCTCCCAGCTGAGGAGACATGCGCGGTTCGATACGTGTCATGGTACCGGTAGTCCCCCCTAACCGGCAGAATGCTCCAGCACTGAAAGCCGCAGAAATTGATCTTTGAAGATCTTGATGAGTATGTGTTGAGCAGAATCTCTGGGCCGCAGCACAATGCTTCAGGCGGAAAGCCACTGCAAAGATCTGTGAAGATCTTGAGTAGGTGTTAGCTGGTGTTGATCAGGCTACTCTGGAGCGCAAATGTGGACAGTCCTCATTTACTACTTAGTTTTAAGAAACCGGGCAACCTAACATCAACTAGTAGAGTGAAGATCAGTCAGCCTTTACACCTTGACATTAAGACCCATTGCAACATATACACCCTCACATTTAGAAATATTTGGTGCAAAAATGACCCCTTCATGTAAACACCCAATATGAAACTATCAACTACACTATCTCAACAAAGTAAGACAATGTCATTCAAAACAACATTATTGCTGACAAATACCATTCAACAACTATGTCAATTGGTTGGATATTGACTGAGATCTGGTAACCAGAAGTTGGTTGCTTTTTGATCACAAAATCATCCTCCAGCCATGCTCTTAGGGACGTTAAGTAGTAAATTCAAATGTGTTTCCGAAGTGTTCCGGAGGTTTTCCTCATTTTTGCATCTGTCCGCATTTTTGCCGTGGAGTAGCAGGTGTTGAGCAGAATCTTCGCATGAGCCTCAGCATCCAGGTGAACCATCAAACACAAACAATACCAAGCATCATTTTTTCTCTCGATCTGCATTCTTCTCGTAAATCAAAAAATCAAACAACAGCACAAGTCAAACACAAACCTACAGTAACAGCATCAACAATATCATCAGGGCCAATACACTAGCTAGAAAGAACAAGAGCAGCATCAACGCAACCATCTTCCACAAACTAAGAACCAAACAAAAGTCGATCATCATGTTCGCCGCCAGAGCCACTTCCGCTTTACTAAGATCGTCACCAGCCATCACGGCAACTGCTCTTCGAGGTCTTTCTGCCCAACACAATGCGTGCATTCGGAATGCCACTACCATTGCCAATCTTCATGCAAGAGAAATTCTGGATTCTCGTGGTAACCCCACAGTCGAAGTGGAACTTACCGACAGCAAAGGACAAATGTTCTTGGCCGATGTTCCATCAGGGGCTTCCACAGGTAAGCAGATATGCTTGTGCCAACCTGATCCCATGCCTGTTTAACTTACTTATCTTGTCACAATATTCCAGGGGATATGGAAGCAATCGAGCTTCGTGATGGCGACAAGAGTCGCTATCTGGGCAAGGGAGTCCAAAAGGCATGTGCCAATGTTGTCCAGCAGATTCTTCCCGCAGTAAAAGGAATGAGCAGTGAGGACATTGCTGCTATCGACCAAAAGATGATTGCCTTGGATGGAACTTCCAACAAGGCTAATCTTGGTGCCAATGCCATCCTGGGTGTTTCCATGGCAGCCTGCCGAGCGGGTGCCGCAAGCCAGACACCCCACTCTATTCCTTTCTCAACAAATTGGCAGGATCTCCGAAAATGGTAATGCCTGTCCCTTGCTTCAATGTGATCAATGGCGGAGTCCACTCTGGGAACTACCTGGCGCCGCAGGAGTTCTTCCTGATTCCTCTGGGAGCTTCTGATTTCAAACAAGCCCTAAGAATGGGGAGTGAGACTTATCATCACTTGAAGGGCCTTATCGATGCCAAATATGGTCGAGAAAGTACTGCGGTCGGCGATGAAGGAGGTTTTGCTCCCAATATTGGTAGTGTTGAAGAAGCATTGGATCTTCTTGTCGCTGCCATTGACGAGGCTGGATACACTGGTAAAATCTTTGTGGGAAGTGATCCGGCAGCCTCTGGGTTTTATGACCGCGAAAAAGAGGTCTACAATTTCGACTTCAAACGCCCCTTGGCAGAACAAGATCCATCTCGTACCATGAAACGGGAGGAGGTTGTCGACTTTTGGATCAAAATGGCGGAACAATATCCTGTCCAACTCTTGGAGGATCCTTTCGACGATCTTGACTTTGACGGACATAAGGCTGCGACTGCCGCTTTGGGCAAAGATGTTGAGATTGTCGGCGACGACCTCTACTGTACAAACCCATCCATTGTGAGCAAGGGAATTGAAATGGATGCCACCAACGCAATGTTGCTCAAGGTGAACCAGATTGGAACCATCACTGAAGCTATCAAAGCCTACAACCTCTGTCGCGACACAGGCTGGGGAGTTTTTGTGAGCCATCGCAGTGGTGAAACACCGGATGACTTCATTGCAGACCTTACTGTCGCCCTTGGCACAGGTCATCTGAAGACTGGTGCCCCTTGCCGCGGCGAACGGCTGGCCAAATACAACCAACTGCTGCGAATAGAGGAACGGAATAATGGAGCCATTGGCTTTGCAGGATACGATTTCCGAAAGAGCGGCCACTTTTAAACGGCATTGACTGGTTCAGACTCGCCTTTGAATTCTCAATACAATTGCAAGTCTAAACTGTCTAGGCTTTCTATGATTCTAGGCTTTTGAGGTCCCAGCTACGGTACTGTACAGTAGCTAGCACTCTTGCGGCCGATCTTGAGTCATGGATATTTTTGCAAATCGTGGAACCCAGAGGGTCCTTCCCAGCTTTTTAGGTCTTCTAAAGGAGCTACCGGTACTAGATGTACCAAGCACATGGATGAACCATGATGGAACCTGATGAAACTCGGATCTTGAAAATGAACCGGGATAAAGATGATAATAAGCTCTCTGGATGACCGCCATAGGCATGGGTTGGGAAGTTGTCGATGAGGATGCATCCTTCTCCAGCGTTGTTATCCACGGTCGCCGTCCACGGGTCTATTCAGAGACGAGACGAACGTCGATAGATGATAGACCACGTCCTAGGGAACGGTTTTCAGCCAAGCTGTCAAAAACAATGGCTATAGGTAATTCAGTTAGCAACCGAGACGAGAAAAATGTCATGAAGGCACTTCGTTCCAAACGACTTGCTTCCACGAACATTGTACGTCGATCACGATTGAGGACCGCCATCGAAGATCGTCTTCTGGCGTTTGCCCTCTCCCTTCTTGCCATTGTTTTGCCAATTCTTGCGTTTCTTCCGTCGGCTGCCGCTGCGATGGCCGCCCTGTCTTTCATTGCTCTTGTGCGCCATTTCGGCGTCGTTGCCTTCTCTCTCATGGGTTCTATGGTTGTTGTTGTGGCGCTTCTTCTGTCCTTTCCACCTTTTGTCACACTGCATTCTGTTGTGATGAGGATTGTTGCTGCCATCACCCGTACCTTGCCTCTTGCGTTGTCCATTACGATGGTCGAGCGCTGCAACAGTCACATTCGGAGAAACTACACCCAATGGGCTTTCAATGATGCAGCCACGTGCCTGGCATTGCTTGGCAAACGCATGGAGCGTCTCAAGGTGTTCGTTTTCCAGCATGTGACTCGCACTGCCGATACAAATCAATTCAAACTTTGCCCGAGTGAGGGCAACGTTGAGACGGCGATTGTCCGTCAGGAACCCGGCCACGCTCCGGGCAAACGCCTCCCTGTCGGCATCCCCTACATGGTTTCGATGGCGCTTTCGGCAAGTTCTGACAAAGGACACAAGGACAAGGTTGGCTTCGCATCCTTGACTGCTGTCGACGGTACTCGCCACAAGACCCGACTTGCGTTTTCCGAAACCAAGTGGATTGAGCAACGAGTTGATCAAATCAACTTGTGCTTGATAGAATGTGATGATGCGAACTTTGTCGTTGCGAAACCAGTTGGGGTCCTGGCCAGCGGCTTTGTCGCGGAGCTGGCGGATCCGATGAACCACAGCTTCGGCTTCGGCGCGGTTCATGTAGGAACCTCCCTCCCGCTGCTTCTCTTCACCAAGCACTTCCTGGAATACAAACGGCCTCTGCGGATCTTGAAGTAAGGGACGCGGACTCACATAAGTGTCGCTGCAGACTCAAGCATGTGAGGAACAGAGAACACATACAGGTACGACACCAGTACAAAGCATGGATCGGAATCGAGTCATACCTTATCACTTCATCGCCATCCTTCAGTTTGCCTCGATAGAACGTTTTCGAGGGAAACTGAGAGATCTGAGGCCTCATGCGATATTGTTGTCGTAGCATCGTGTACGGGTACTTGCAGTCTTTCATGAGACGTTCATGAAGGCTCTTGTCGAGACCATACTGTCTGGCCACAGGACTAAAGACTGTAGCGGGCAACTGCATGGGATCTCCCACCGCCAACAACCGATCTGGACACATATGAAACGGAATGCCGATTTGCGGTTCAGTGGCAGCTGCGGCTTCGTCCACGATCAAATCGCGTATTTTGAAGGGTCGATCTCGTGATTTGAAGATTGCGGATCCCGACGTTGCCAGCGTACAAAAAATCAAATCAGCTGTCGGGTTAAACATGCAGAAAACAGAGTTGTGAGCGCCATGATGGCGTATCATTGGGCGTGACATTTCCTGCACGCACCTGAACGAATGAGAGCTAATATGACTCGCTGGCCAATGTCACGAGTATGAATCAGAGTCTGGACATCGCCGAGCACATGGTCAAGCCTCTTTTCAAACAACTTGACTTGTTTTTCGGAGGCTGGTGTTGTCGTATTGCTTCTAAAATCCTTGTGACTCATTTTCAACAACGTGTCTCGCAATAACTCTCCCCGGGCCTGATATCCTTGCGGAAAGACGTACCCGATATCAACATATTGGTGGACGAGCCGCAAGAGGGAGTATCGTTGCATTTTGTAGTTGCGTTCGCCGTAGCTGCTCTCGTTGGAGTCGCCGTTGTCATCCTTGGCGTTGTCAGCGTTGGTTTGGTCCTTCTCATTGTCGTCGTTGTCATCATCCTGTTCACTTTTTGGTGGATTGCTGTTGTTCTGCGACCTGTTGCGTCGAAGTGTCCCAAGGACCGTCTTGACTTCTTCCTCAATGTTTTCCAAAAATCGATACACAAAGATTCGTTTCAGACATGCCATCGACTTGATGGTTTCTTTCAGACTGGCATGATCCACAATGTCATTGTCACTCATAATACTATTGTTGTTGTTGTCGTCGCCTTGGTTCTTTTTGCTGTAAATCGGCGTATCTTCCACCAGTTTTTCCGCATCTCCCACCAGAATCACCTTTAATTCATGGCACGAATTGGCTCCCTTTTTCTCTCCGGAAATGGTAGACATGAATCGGGACGCTAGCACAGACACGGCCTTGTTGGTGGGCGCCGCCACCATGAGTGCCTTTCCCTTTTTGCATCTCCTCCCCGCATAATGCGGGGGTGAGCGTGTCAAATGAGGTGTTTCTCCTCTGGCAATGGCCTCGGCTTCCGTTTCCGCCAAGAGGCGTTGCAGATATTGTCCAATGGTGGAAACGAGAAAGGTAGTTTTCCCCGTGCCCGGTGGGCCTGATGATGTGAGACAAAAGCAGAAGAGTGAGAGATTCGTGAGTGTCTGCTACGGAAGGTGAACATAGCGATCGTTCGACTTTCTGGACGTACCTTGCACTAAGGAGATGGATCCTGTTGGAGAATCCAAAAAGTCAGCCGCTGCCTTGGCTTGAATACTGTTGAGGTTGGGCAAACTCCAAACCCTCATTGGGGATTGTGGTGGAGCAATATTATATTGTCGTTTGGTGGGAGGTGGTGTACTTGGAATATTTGCCACAGTGTTGTTGTCGCTTATTTCAATAATATCGTTGTCGTTCTTGTCATTGTCACTTTCTCTCTTCTTAGCGCCGTCAGTTTCCTTGGTACTGTCATTGTCACTGTCACTGTCGTCATCACTGTCACTCTCATCATCATCACTCGAGAGTACAATCTCTATGGTCCTCGTCTTATCAGTACCTGTTCGCCCACCTTTGTCCTTGGTTGTCATCTTGTCAGTGGCTGTTTTACTCTTTTCCTTGTTTGTTGTGGCTACAGTGACTGTGGCTGCTGCTGCTGTTGTCGTGTCGTTGGAAAGATCGAGCACCCGTACGACTGGCTGCTTGGAACCTGCTTTGGTGGACTTTTGTTGTTGTCCAAGCAGCGTCTGCAAAAAGGGCAGTGGCGCATGTCCACTCCGAATCAAGTTGCACGTATCCAACTGTCGAAACTCGGACACGAGACTGGTCAATGGCGTGACGGCCCACAGTCCACACCGAATGTGTCGTTGTTCATTTTCCGGCACCGTCATGACCACGAACCGACGTGCCTTTTGGGTGATTTGTCGTTTGGTCATGCAAATGCACGCCAAGAGGACCTGATCGACTTGATGTTGGCAATTGGCAGGAACGCACTCGACAATGGTGCCCGTCCTCAAATGAAACTGCTGTTCTTTGGTAAAGGGGGGTGCCATGTCGGGCAGTGAGAATTCAAAAAAGACAACCTGCGAGCGACTGTTGAATGTTCGTTCGGAGAGTTCCAGTGTCATGGTGGTGTTGCTGTTGCTGCGTTTGTTGGATTGACCATGGCGATGATTGTTTCGATTGCTCCATCGCTTGGCCATGGCTTCCGATAAGACATGAATGGATTCTTCCAGGACCAATGCGGCTCGGTCGTTACAGTGTTGTCTCCGTGTCAAGGATTGTCCTGCCAAACTGTGGACGGGAGGTGTCAATTTCAACACGGACGCTGTGGCCTTCCAGACTGTCCGTCGAGTGGTGTGATTGGACCAGGATTCGACATAATCGCGAGGAGACACGGACAAAATGGCACCCACATAGAACGCTTCGGAAGGACTTCGAAAACGTCCATTTTCATTGCTTTGTTGAAGATCCAGTTGCGTCTCCTTGGCTTCTTGCTGTTTGGCCACTTCCATCATGGCCGGAGTCAGAATCGGATTGCCGCGTTTCTTGATCTTCTTCTTGTTGGCAGCAGCAGCACTGGCTTTCTTACTAGTAGTATTCATCATGGTGCTATGATGGGTGGATGAATGAATCGAATCAAGCCCCACTAACTCACTCAATGCAATTTGTTTCTTTTGTTGTTGTGGCACCTACAGCTGTATGGTACGACTTTACCACACGCAGATTGATGGAAAGATCCGACCGTGGGTTTGAAAGCTGAGATCGGAGGTGATTTGGAGGTTGGCTTGGGTTTTGGCGCGTTGATTGGCTTAACCTGTTCCCTAATGAGGGGAGTGACTCAGCATCGCCACCCCAACAACCAACCTCTCATTCAACTTTCATCTTTCGCCGTTGAAGACGTCAACAATGAGACGAATGGACTCACTTGCAATCCAATAGTACATGAGCAATAGAAGAAGAAAGACATCATACTATGATTCTCAAGAACATCTTTAGCCCCGTGACAAAGCAATTTGTGGAACGTCGTGTACTCAAGGGCATTCATCCCATGCATTTATTCCGCATCATTCAAGATGTCGATTCCTATTCCAAATTTCTACCGCTCTGTTGGCACTCTCAAGTCCTACACGTGTACGATGGAGGGAGAAGCTTTGATGCCACTCTTACCGTCGGTATTCCCTGGGGGAAAGCACTCAAGGAACAGTACACTTCCCGCGTCACGGTACAACCCGAAACCATGACCATTCATTCCAAGAGTATTCAGAGTACCATGTTTGATTCACTCAAGAGTACTTGGAAACTCAAAGACGCTTCTGAAAATGATACAACAACGACAATAAACAACCACCGAGGATGTCATGTCAGCTTTCAAGTGGAAATGACCGTGGCGGATCCCATGATTGTGGGAATCCTCGATCGAGTCCTCGAGGAAGTGGCAATACGACAAATAGAAGCCTTTGAAAAACGCTGTCACGAAATACCACTGCCACCAGAACTGCAGGATGCACAACAACAATAGCAGGGAATTGAATCGCTCGAATCGCATCGCATGGTTACTTCAAAACATTTACTATGCAAAAAGTCTAATGGTCAAACAAGATTTTTCAACCCATGCAACAGCTCTTTTCTTGGTACGGTGGATTTTGGAGCGTGCTAGAGAATGGACCTTTGGAAAAAGTCCAAGTTGTTCTACATGGTGCAACGTCACAGCTCGTTCCTTGGTAAATGTTGGAGCGTGGAGAATCGAATCGAATCGAATCGAATCGACCGTCACCGACGGCCTCTCGAGGAATAATGGCAAAAGGACATAGTCCAGGACACAGTCGTCCTCCACCGTGATGAACAAGAATATTGATACCAAAATGATTCGATTCAAAGGGGGTTCAGTTGTCGCAGTTTTCGTATTCGGGAGTACCGTACGTCAACCGCAATTGCCGCCAAGCCATGGCGTTTGACCGAGGAATTTTGTGCCAAATTTGTCATACTAGCAGGAGTTGGTGGAGAGGAAACTGAGAGAGCTAGTAGTAGGGAAGTGCATCGTTGATTGGCTGGTCGTCCGAATGAGCAGATATACTCCAAGCAGATAGATTTTCCATCGTTCTCTTGTTAAAGTTTGTGGCAGGATTGCTTTGCTTGCGTCATATTCCATCTGCTGGGAGAGCTCAGAGGGATTTGCATCACGCACTCGGTGTGCTCTGTGGGACTCATGCTGCATAATCGAACAACCGGAATTGGTTGGTACTACCATCACCCGCCAAGGCCAAATCTGGCAACCGTGAGTGGTTCAATGTCTGCAGCTGGAATATGAAAGAGACGACCCAAAAACACACCCGTTGGGTTGTCCAGTAATGTGATTCTGGCAAAACCAACACCTCGAGCAAAGCCCCTCCCGGAGGCATCTTCCATGTGGAATTCATACGATCCTTCAGGAAGATCTTGAACGACAAAACTCTGTCGGTTGTAGGAATCCAAGACACGGGCAGGATCAGGAGCGTCGTGTCGCAACAATATGAGTTCTCCCCCACCCAACTCATTGACAATGTAGAGCTTCCATGTAATGTCATGGACTCTTTCGAGATCATACATGATGACCAATTGGATTCCAAACATCAATTTGTCACTACGTTGCTGTACTGAAGTGCCGGTGTAATGATCCGATCCATCATGAATCCAGGCTCCCCGGAATCCCACATACGGCAATGGTATTTCGATAGCGGCTTGCTGTCCATAGGATGAGAAATCACCACTCACATTGACACCCTTGCCTTCATTGGTAATGATGGCACGTCCATCACCAAAGTCACAACAGCTCCCATCTAAACTGGTGTCTGCATAGACAAAGGTATAGTTCCCAATAGGAAGCTGATAGGAATAGTGGATTGTTGCTCTTTGGGGAATGTCCATCCTTTCAGGTAATTCAAAGATCATTCCCTGTCGCTGTGGATGATTATCATCGATAACGCGAAAGCCTGTCTCCTCCGGATAGTCATCATAGGTCATGTTGACATCTAACCGTGTGCAGCCTGCTGGAGGATACATGCTGACATCACATTTGAGGAATTCCAACCACTGTGAAATGGCAGATACCCGAGCATAGACTCCTGGTCGATATTCTTGGGCACATCCTGTGGTGGTGTAACATGTTGGCATGCAAGGAGTGAGATTTGAAACCTTACTCAGGCTACAGAAGGCCCGCTAAGAGACTTCCATATGGCGATTCCTTACCAATCCCCCAACTAACCAAACCGACTTGTGTTCCGTAAGCATCAACAATGGGACCACCTGAGTCGCCCTGGGTATCATGTAAAGACAAGATAAGTTAGGCCACTCGTCGCAGAGCATTTGAGGCAAGTACATGTAGATATCCAGACGTACCAGGCAAGCATCTTTCCCTCCTCCTGGCATATCTCCAGCACAAAAGACAATTTCTTCGTTGATTCGGTCTGAAGTGTAGTAAGGCACACAATCACCAATCATGGGCACAGTGACTTCATGCATGTCATTTGGGGCATCCACAATGGTATCAGTTTCATTCAGCAATCCAAACCCCATGACTGTCAATTCTTGTCCATTGACTGGATAATCCCGATCTGTGTTGAGGGACATGAACTCGATGCCCGTGACTTGTTGGGGCAGCTGCAAAACAGCAAAATCATAGGCTTGTATATTGCTTGGATTATAAAGAGGGTGTCTATAGCCTGCTTCGGCATACATTTCGGTACCGGATTCGGAGGTTCCGTTCCCACCAACATAGACAGGCCAATTGAGGGCGACCGGGGCGTTGTTGAAGCAGTGTGCTGCTGTCAACACCAAGTCATCATGGAATAAACTCCCGCCACAGCCCAATTTCCATTGAACATGACTAGGAATCTTGTCCAAAGGAGCAGCAGAACCTCCAACGATGCGGTTGTCAATTTTCAGCTTTCGTTCGGTTTTCGTAGCTGCTTGTTGCTCGTCCTGCTGACCTCGGAGAAATGGGATCTTATGATTCGTCTCCCCACCAGCAAGCACAGAGGACAACAGCAACAACCAAGTTGCGGTTGGCAATCCCATCAACACAACACAAAACAAAGACCTACAACAGAACTAATTCCTGATTGCGATGATAACAACACACTAGGTGGATGGAGGTGTGGAGTGTGGAGGCATATCTACGCAACGACAGCAGTAAGATGCAGAGACCCCATGTTGAGTGATCACTCAAATGGCTGCTTCAACGGTGGACATAGTAACTTAGACGTTGGCTTAAATCCTACCGTCGTAGCTATATATATTAATATTAATTATATATAGAGGCTACAATCCAATACATTAGAAGTCCCGGATCTCGTGTTAGCTAAATCTATTTTGCATGGCACGGTACTCGTACCGGTACCTGTACTAGTACCGGTACATGTACCTACCGTGGTCTTTAGGCATACGGTACGGTACACTGTACTATTACAGCTTTGTTATTGCCCTGGCACAAGCCACGATTGTGTGGTCTCCATGTACTAGTAGTACGCTGGCTTATTTGCTTGAGCAAGAGCACCCGAGCAGCCCAGCCTCCGCCGTACCGGTACCGGTACGGTTCTTTACCACACGAACCGGCTAAAATCAACTTACCATTTCCGGCATCATCTTACACCACCTTGTGTTGCATGGTTTACCACCTTCAACCGCCTTCGACCGCCTTCGACCGACTTCGACCGACTTCATCCGCCTGCTTTACCGCCTGCTTTACCACCTGCATTACTATTTTTCACCGTCTTTAACCGTCTTTTGACGTCTCAACCACCATGTCTTTCTGGGATGGTGCGGGAAAACCTGAGATAGACAGAGCTGGTTTGTGCCACCCCCCAGCTCTACTAGCTAGTATGAGTATTCTCGATACTCGTAACTAACTTGTTAGCAAAACCACAAATAGATAGAGCAACCAAACAAGGATGATCCGCTACATACTGTAGCATCCCTGTCAAGGCTATGCCATTTGCAGGGTGACCATGGCTTGTCCGGTGGAGCAGCCTCGGGTGTAAATCAAACCAAACACAATGGCGAATTTACATACAATCTATCGCTAGCATAGGCAGATTTGTTCCAAACTTAGCCCTCAGGAAAACAAATTGATCATTGAACGAAAGCGAGAGCCATGCTCAGCAACAGAACCGGTAGCACCAACGTGATTCCGAGCATTTCCAAGCTTGCCTATGGCAGAGAGGATCCACGGGCAAAAGCGGAACTTTTGTGCCCATCAGTTGAAGCCCATGAGCAGCCAGCTGCAGATGCAATAAATTCAAAACTCCATCATCAGAACTTCTATCAGCTATTTGTGAGAAGGGTACGGCCCGTGCTGATTTTGGCATTGCTGGTATTTTCCTTGCAGGGTTTGCATGTGCGGCGTGGCGATAAAGTCGAATGGTTGACAAAATCAGGACCTTACCTGCTCAACATAGTATGCAGCAACTATGCCATACCTCCTCAGCCCCCACATATGTATGGGCATACCACTAGCATCTCTACATACATAATGTACATACCTGTTTTGGCTGATATACATATATTTCGCCCATGTATTTCAACATGTATTGTTCCGATGTAGCTCGTCGAGGTCGAGCTTCGATGTCGAGCTTTTGGCTCGACCCGTGTAGGTGAAGGCAAATCGCAATCATTTACCCAGTTACTAGAAAATCCAAACACAGCAGCATCCATTTCTTGACACAGATTGAGAAAGGAGAGAAGTTTTAGGAAATCTACCAGCAGTAGTTAGATGAAAACCTTAGTAGTACAATGCAAGTGACCGATGCAGCATAGTATGGTCCCAGAGATTGACCAATGCTACATGTATTTCCATACCCCCACATACTTTCAGACTCTCACATACATATATTTGTATTTCAGTATGTACATACTATGTCCTTCACATCCATTTTTGCTTAGGCAAGATCAGGACTCGTAATGGAAGATTATACAAGCAACCCAAAGCGAGAAGCAGGTCCTCGACTTGAAATAAAAAATGAAACAGTGTTGCGCGATTCTGAGCCTCCTTTTTCTCCTTCTTTCTGCGGCAACGATCGTGATGTACTCAAGCTCTTTGAGAAGAACAGCAAGCATTGGGGCTACAAGAGGTCCTTGTCAGATTTGGATGTTTGGCTTGTTTCACATGGAGGTGTGGCTTCAGAATACTTGTATTCCTATTTTGAAGACCATGACATCAAGCTGTTTCCAAGCTACAAACACAACCGGGATTATTTGTGTCATTTGGGCAATCCAGAAATGGTTGAATTGATCTATCCATCCAACACACCCTTTTTGGTCATTGTTGGTGACTTTTGGAGGGCATTCATGTCAATGCACAGGCGCGACTATTTGAAGATGAACATAGCCAAAAATATATTTGGAGAAGAACGCTGTGTAATGCCAAAGTACGAAGACTATGTGTCCAAGAATCCCAATGATCCTGCTGGGATCAAGGACATGGTCAGAACCTACACCAAGCTTCCAAATGTCGTTTTTCTAAAGGCCCCATACAGCAAAGAATCCGTCATGCAAGCTGCACAATTGTTGGGACTTGACAAACTGCAAAACCTCCCATCCTTATTCCAAGGGTTTGAGGAACACGAGCGAAAATCCAACAACACATTTATTGTACCTGAACTTGTTCCCATCTATGAGCCCTACAAGGAACTGCATGAGTTGTTAGACAACTCAAATGTTCCACCTGTCTGGACCTCGTCACAATTGCCCGAGGCATTGAGGCTATACCTCATCAAAGAGGCACAAAATGTAAACAAGACTTCTGTGAAAAGGTAATCAAATAAATGGGGTCAAAGTTTAGTTGCCATCATCCAATAATAAAATCTATTGGGGTGCTGGTATCTTTGCTTGCACAAGAGCACCTATCATCTGTCATCAGCCCACGATCCTACCGGTACCCGTAGAGCTCCCGTAGTTATTAATACCTGTGCATGTACCGGTTATGTGGTTCGTGAAGGGCGAGGCACCTGGGAGCTGGAGCACCTCAATCTCTCGCGTAAAGGACATCCACCATGGATGATTCATCGAAACCAATTATTTGCTTTGCTTTTGCTTTCAAGTTTGCAAAGAAATGCTCATTCTAAGGACACGGTAGCTAGAACGTACCTAGCTTTGCAGGAGCGACCATCTCCACCTATCAAAATGTTTAGCAGCATCGTTCCCGCAACAAAGTTAAGTTTGCACTGTTTCGAGGCGATTCGATTCACTTACCCATATCGTAGACGATCCGCCCCACGACCCGACCGTTCGAACGGCAGAATCGTGGCAACTCCAATGTACGGTACACAAGATCTCCACTCGTTCCATTTTCGAAACCTCACAACTTAGCAGCCCCTTCCGTCGCAGTTGCATGCACATCCTTCTGTAATGGACGCATACAGTGACATCTCGGAGATCACCGGCTCAACAGCCCAGGACGAACTAGACTATTTGAAGTCTACGTTTGGCCTGGACACGCACACAGCACTACTGCTCAAAAGGGCGATGCACCTTCAAGAAAAGGGACAACTGAAGCAGGCTCAAAGATACTATGCTGCGGTGCTCGACAAGGCTTCCAATTGCAAATTCGCGGCTGACAACGCCAGAATCGTCTCAGAGCTTTTGGCAGATCAAGAACAAGATACATTGTATGCAGAACCCATCTTCGAGAATGCTCCAACCCCTGTAGAGCGTGCATCCATTCAAGTGGTTGGATCCCCCGAAACCGTCTTGGAGGAGTCTGATGACGACACCCCCAGGTTGGCAAATGTTTCGGAAGACTTGAGCTTGATGAGTCTCCTTGACAGCAGTAGGGGAGGCAATGGTACATCAGTTCGCAACATGCAATCGTCTAACTTTGACGATGCTTCCGAGAACGGCGAAGATGTACAGCAGACTACTACGACAGCGTCCGCCCCCGAAATCAACACTCACTCGCAGTTTGACGACGCGGTCGAGGACGACGCGGACGATTACGAATCTTTGTGTGAACTTGTCGCGCTGGCATACAGTCTACACATGTGAGCATCCTCCGATGAGCGCCCGGTACCGGTACTGGAACAAGTACCGATAGTTGAACTATGATAGACCGTATTCTATTTGATATACATGTACCTAGCTGTAGGCGTCACGGTTCTGCTCTCGTTGTTGCTACAAGTGTCATGTGTCGCGGCAAACAATGCCGTTGACTGTCTTCTGGATTCCGAAGCCCTGGGAGACGACCGCCCCTTACACGGTGAATGGCCTCCAATCGATGAGCGAGACACTTGCTTCTTTGTTCGCGCTCCCCGAGCCAGCATGTTTTGATTCCCATGTTTCCGGTTCTTGACAGTAGGTCAACTGATGGACCTGCTGATGATGCACCGCCCAACAAGCAAAGCTCAGAATGTAATTTGTTTCCACCACGGGTCGAAGTGAAGCAATGGCTAGCGTTTCCGATCTGACGATGGGCGCGAGCCTCGAAGGGAGGGTTGCATTCTTCCAAGAGTCCTTTGGCTTGAACACAGCGACGGCACTGCTGCTCCACAAGGCCGACAACTTTATGGACAAGAATGAATTAAAGAAAGCTGAAAAGTTCTATCAAGCCGTCTTGACGGAGGACCCACAGTGCACTTACGCCGCCAAGAATGCCACGATAGTGATGGAGCTGCTAGTTGACGAGGAAGCAGAGGAGCAAAGACGACAACTACAAAGCCAAGTTGAAGGCGCTATGCAGAAGTCGCTTGCCTATACCAAGACGGAAATGAGCGTGAGCTGGAACAAGTCCGTTCACTTCGATGCCAGCTTTGATCCGGACATTGACAAAGTTGCGACTGAAGCAATCATAGCTGAACTGATGCAAATGGGATTCAGCCGATCAATACTGAGCCTGAAGCACAACGAAGTAATCAGCAAGCAGAACAACGAGTGGACTTACGAAGAGTGGTCTGGGCGAGCAAACTTCCAGGTCCTTTTCGTACCAGACGAGAAAGAAGCGCCCCTGACAACCGAGAGTGGAGAGCGAGCGATTCAAGCTGTGATAGAGCCGTCTCCACAATCCATTGGTTCCGCCGATGCATCCAATCCTGGCCCAGGATCTTCAAAGTTCGCTGATGCCTCGGAGGGCAGCGGGCGTTAGTGTGCAGTGGAGGCACGTTGAATGCAACTTTGGTGGAGCTGATGTATGTGCTTGTTGTACCTGTTGTAAGCTCGTCGTCTTGGTGCTATCAGCTACAGCTATTGACAAGAGAACTTTCTCCAAACCCAAGAACGGGACTACTATTGTGTAACTAAGTTTTATCCTCTGCATTGTGAAAGGGCTTCTTTTGTACATATGGTTGACATACCGGTAGCCCCAAGGCATTCCTCCCTGCATCATCTCTGTGACCGGATGGCAAGCCACCCTACGCCACGGCAGTCTTTTGCAACGCGTTCTGAACCTTTTCCAGAGCAAGGTCGATGGAGTTTTCAAGTCCCGAAATCTCTGCCAAGAGGTTGTCAAATAGTTCGGTCGAGTTTTTGCTTTTTGCAGTAGACGCGATGGAGGAAGCCTCACTGCTTTCCGCGGATGTCGTGGCGACACTCCGGTCCGTTTCCGACTTGTTGACGGATGGCTGCTCGTGTACCGCCACACCCACATGACTTGCCTTGACCAGTCGCAGGTACTTTTTTTGAGAAGGCACCTTGCAGGTATGATACCCCGGATAATTCAAAAAGGCTTGTTCGGTACTGACAGTGGGTAACAAGAATACCGATCCCTTCCAATCGGTGGAAATGGTGCCGTCCTCCAACTGGACTCGTGGATGATTGTTGGGCCAATTGGCGGGTGTTGCCACGGACTTTTGATAGGAGAGTTGTAGTGACTTGACACAGCGAATGATTTCATCCATATTTCGTCCCACGGATGCGGGGTAGTTCAAGGAAAGTCGAAGTCGATTGTCGGGATCAATGATAAAGACACTGCGAATGGTGAGATTGCCGGGTGTGGCCACATCGGTCATGGCGTATAGTTTGGAGACTGTGCGATCGGGATCTCCAATAATGGGAAAGTTCCATTGTGCGAGCAGTTTTTCCTTTTCCGTGTTATTGTTGTCATGATGATGTTCTTGGAAGTGCGCCACAATATCTTTCATCCATTCACGGTGAGACTCGGCCGGGTCCACCGAGAGACCAATCAACAAGCAGTCCATTTTCTGAAGATCCGCATAGCGGAGTGCAATGGCAGCTATTTCGGTAGTGCAGACGGGTGTAAAGTCGGAGGGATGCGAGAAGAGAACGGTAAATTTACCCTTTTTCCACTCGTGGAACGATGGGATAAAGCCTTGGCTGGTGTCGGCCTCAAAGTCAGGAATCACATTTCCCAGTCGAAGTCCACCGTCGGTCGATTGCTCCGGATATTTCTTCATGTAGGCGCGCGTTCCAGTACTCATCTTGGAACGGCCATGGTTGCGATTGCTCGTGTACTTTTTGGTTTCCGTTTCGGTAGCTGTAGAGTCATTCGTTTGTTTCTCGACAAGATGAGACAAGGCTGCTTTGGGCTTCTTCTTCTCTTCTTTTTCTTCTTCTTCGCTCTTGGTCGAAAAATCCGAAAGATCGTCTTCGTCCTGATTGGCGTCGAAACTATAACGGCTGTCCTCGTCCTCGTCCTCTTCACTGCCACTCATAGCCTCGTCAACACTACCGGTGCTTGCACTATCATCGATGCTAACTGTTTGAATACTGTATTGTAGACTCTAGCTAGTTGGTTTTCAACCTTCACTATTTGTCAATTATGAGCTCAGATTCTGAGCTTTCCTATTCTAATCTTGCGTAATTCCTGCTGACCAGGTCATGCACTCCAGCTGACCAGGTCATGTGCTAAAACATAAATACGAATACCAGGTACGATATGGGATAGATACGAATACCAGGTACGATGTGGGAGTAGGACCCAGTCACAGTTTGCACTGCTCATGCAGAACAGTTTCACAACACTCCTTCTCAAACGAAGACTGACTTCAGAGCCTTACCACCCCATCAACATCTTTCTTAATACTTGGAATTGGCCAACAGCCAATCCCTTGGTGAACTGATCCGCCAACTGCTTCTTGTACTCCACATGGACAGCAACAATTCCATTGCCATTCTTGTCCAGACCAATCTTGCTGCGGAACTAGTGATATTTCAGAGCCAAGTACTTGTTCTTGGTGGACACCTTTGGGACATTGATCAAGGATAGGCAGCTTGTGTTGTCTTCAAATACTGTAGACTTCATTTCACTAACCTTCCTGACCTCAGTGCCCAATGCATCACCAATCTCAGCCATGAGCTCCCTCAAAGGCAAAAGTTCCCTCATTGCAGTGCTGAAAGCAACATACTCACTAGCAGTGCTGCTGAGGGTAATCTCAGTTTGCAACTTGGATGCCCACACCAAAGGACAATTGAACATGGTAATCACATATCCAGTGCGAGACTTCACACATACAGGATCTTGATCATCCTCATGTCCCCATAGCCCAGCAAAGTCAGCATCAACCCAACAGTCCAATCTTTGGAGGTATCAGGTTTCAAGATCAGACCTTTGTCACTGGTGCCCTTGAGGTACCGAGCAATTCTCTTAATTGCAACTTGCATGGGAATTCTTGGGAGTTGTGGGTGAACCTTGCACATTGATGGACAGCAAACTGTATATCAGGACGTGTGTTGGAGGTACAGGTACAAGAGCATGCCCACAAGCAGATGCATAACTCCAACTCTCTTTGAATTGCTTTCCAAACTTGTCAGTTCCAAGATGCTCAATATTGGCAGGTGTTTCTTGGATGAACATTCATTCATATCAAATACTTCAAGAATTTCTGAGTGAGACCAGACTGTGTCATCACAATGGTATCATCCCACAGGCTTCTTGTCAATGTTAATACCAAGGTAAGAGTAAACATTGGCATCATCAGATTTCTCCTCTTCCAGGAGAATATCCATCAGAGCGCAGTTTCTCTACCATACATTGATCTTGTTCAGTTCCTTGCCAATCATGAATTGGTCATCAACATACGTGACTGCAATCATGTCGCTTGTGGATGAAGAGACATGGGTCATCTTACTGGCAACAAATCCATTGTCAGTCAGTCCCTTTTCAAGGTGCTTAAAAAATAATCTAGGAGCGTCCTTTTGCCCATAGAGAGATTTCCTTAGGTGCAACACCAAGTCTTCATCTTCTCTACCATTCACAGTGTAGTGTGCAGGCAACTCAATGTAGACATCATTCTCCTGAGCAGCTTGACAGAATGCATTGGTGTAGTCATACTGCTTGGTGTGTAGATTCAATGTAGCTGACATGATCAACTAAGCTCTCACTGTTGGCCATCCAACCACAGGGCATATGTATCAAACACATCTACACCCTCCTTCTGACGAAAGCCTTGGACACAAAATCGAGCCTTGAACTTGTTCAGTCGACCATCTGGAACCTCTTGATTTTGAATGCCCAAGTTCCAGGAATGATGTTGGAACTCTTAGGCAACTTAGCACGGGGTACAACATCCCAAACTTGCATCTTCTCCTAATGAATCAATTTCTTGTCCATTGTCTTGCTTAAACTTGTCAGAGTGAGTCCAGTCAAAGTCATCAAAGATAGAAGGTTTTCCTCATCATACTCTTTTCTTCTAGCAGCCAAAGCCTGTGGAAACACATGGCCATAGATGTGCAGCCTCCAAGAACTGCTCCATATCATGTACAGGGAACAGAAGTAAATCAAATCTTACTTGGGAATCAGCACACATTTCCTTGCATCATCAATAGAAAGCCAACAGCTCTGGCAT